GCTCCTACAAGATGCTAGCCCACTAATTATCCCCTATTGGGCCCTAGCTATTCTCTAATCTAAAAGCTCACTTGTTCATATTATATACCACCGTCCATTATTATTCTAGGTATGAGATTTATTTGATAGCCATCCCTTTACCTTGAGAAGGAGAGCTCTCTATTCTTTGTGACCGTGTGCGTTGGTTTCATGCCTTGTTCGTGAGATTTCCTTCTTCTCTTATAGTTAGTCTTAGTGGTTAACTTCATTGGCTCTATTCTTCTCATCCCCAAGCTTCTGTGGGTTATCTATTGGTTGGAGCAACCATTTGGAAGTGTAGTTCTTTGTGGACTGTTCATTTGATCGACTTGTGGTGTTGATTATAGACTGAGCCCAGTATACCTTGATGTAACTGGCTGTTTATTCCTCACAAGTTTAATATTTAAATCAATCTTTCCTTAACTTCAATTACTTAACCTATCAAATAATAGTTAGGATGGTAGATAAATAAATATGTTTTAGCTGGAATATGAAAATTGAAGATTGTGTCATGTTTTGGGTGTTGAAACCCTAAAATCCGTAGTTACGAAATTCTGCTGAAATTCGTACTATCCAGTCAATTAGAACTGACTGTCTTCTTGGATTGTATCATTTTATTCATAGAATAAAATGAAGCCTTTTCTGGTCTACGCAGGGATCGATGGAGGGAGACAGGTTTGGGCAATCCCCAAGCCCATGACATTGGAATTTGTTTTCTATGTATCAGTTCAGTAGGAAAAAAAATTTCCCCTGGCTTCGTCTTTGGGTCTACCCTACAAAAATATGATTAATCTCGAGAACATTCTGAATTATCCAAGTTAATAATAAGACAATGGAATCACTTACTAACAAATATGCTTTCGGATAATGATTATGATTCAGCTCTTGAAAAGATGCATCCAGTCAGTTATAATCTCAAATTATTATTTTGTTCAAAATGAAAAATATATCAATGTCATGTACGCATTGCGAAAAAATAGAAATTGCGGTTCTTTCAATTTGACTATTGGAAAAAAAAAAAACTATTTTATATGCATATTTTAAGGAAAAGCTAAATTGATGAAATATAAGTTTGTAAGTAAAAAGTTTTCCGTAAAAGTTCATTATGTATTATGAGGTTTTAATTATTAATCCATTATTATTTTATATGTTCTTTGGATACTAAAAGATTTTGAATAAAATTAGTATCTTATGCATTTACAAATTCCCGAGTTCGAGACCCTAAATAAGTATAAAAATTATACTTATTAACATCCCAAACTTATGTAATTTGTTGGTCATCAAGTAAAACTAATTAAAACAAAGACTCAAAACGAATAGAAAAATCAAGACTCGTGTTATATATAAAAATTATGTAGCATGTGCATGATGGAAGGGTTCTCACATGTGCCGACTTGACATCGATTATTCAATTGGATTTGACCTCTTTAATCAAGCAATCTTGTCTTGGAGTTGAGTTCAGTCCATTAGTCCCATTTGGCACATTTTCATTTCTATATATATTTTTTATTTTTTTTTTCTAACTCTAATCAAATCTCTCCGTCTCTCATCTCGTGCATTCATTCTTTCTTGTTCGATCATTGATTTGATCGTCGGAGTACAAACATTCGTCAAATCTTTTTTTTGGTCGATGACTTTTGCCTCCTAATGGAGTGTTCAAGTGCGCAAGTGATACCTACGTGAAAGGGAAGTAGTCGGGATTTTGTTGGTCATGCTTTCGCACAGAAATCGAAGTCAACAATTCAACTTATTGGATATCTTACCATATTCACCTCGGGTTCAAAATCACAACAAATTTTTCAACAAGTTATCTAAAAGATTTTAAGTTTATCCTTTGCTCGGCTTGTGTGTGGATAGCCAAGTCAAAGATAAAATTATTAATTTATCGAACATTCATTTATCGAAAATTTTAGTATTCAAGAAATCTTGAAATCTCACTTTGACCAGAGTAGAGAACCTACCTAGAATTTATAATATAATTGACTGAAGGGGAATTCACAAAAGTGTCCAATTACATGCTTGTCAATTGAAAAGTGTCTAATTTTGAAAACTCTTGCAAAAATATCCAAATTTGGTACCGAAATGTCTATTTTATCCTTGATGAAAAATAAAGAGATTTTTTCTAGAGTGTCACAAATTTCTAGGCCAACAAATAGCTTCCACGAGAAGCTATAATAGTGCTAATTATTACCTAATGGGTTCATTTGCTTACATTACCCACTTGGTAGTGACCAGTTCATTTTGAGGGAAAAGAAGGAAGATGTAGTAGCAAGTCCATTAACACTAACAAAGAACTATATGATTCTAATTCATAAGAAAATCATATAATTTCATTTCGAGAAATTTAATTTCATCCAAAATTGTAAGCTGATTGGCTCTACACAAATCTCATTAGAAGGTAATTTTTGTTTGAAATCTTATTTTTATTGATAAGTTGTGTTTAATAGTTATTGTTATATGTTTGATTTAAATGGATTAGATTATCCAAACAATCAGTCAATATTTGTTGTAAGATTATTGGAACATTTAAAAAAATCACATTCATTGCGGTGTGTCCATTAAAACATTGTGTCACAACCTAACTTTGATAGATAGGAATTTAAGGTAGTTGTGTATTGACAATATCATTAATTGTAGAATGAATTCTTTGCAAAAATGGTTGTTGAAGTTGAAGAAGATGATAAATGCATATAGTGAAGTGTAATCCCCACATATCGTTCTCCACATTTTTATAAATGTCGAGAATGAAACTTAAATATAATTCTTAAATTTGTTTCAAATATTGAGAATGACGTTGAAAACTTAGCGAAGATAGGGAGCATTTTGTGGTTAGTGTTTAACATATAGCTTGCGAGTAGCATGTTCGTTTTAGGTAATTGTGTGTTAGTTAGTCTTATTTGTCTTGATGGAATGTAGGTATGGGGAATGTTATGAGATTCGTTGTCTCGTACGGTGGTACATTCGTCAACATGGATGAC